GAGAAGTGTTGAGTTCTGTCTTTTCATGTTTATGATTCCAAGACCACCTTCCTCTTTAGGTCTGCATGTACTTCCCACACAACTAAATATGAACCTTTTCTATTTATGTCTTCACCACTCCAGAGACATTGTTTTCTGTATCCATCTAGTTGCTTGATGATCTACGGGGGTATCTATAAGAAAAACATGTAAAAAGTTGGAAGAGCTGAGAAAACAAAATTAACTAGGACAAGAGGTTGCCGATTCCTCCAAGTCTACTTTCAATTTTGATGAGGAGTGGACTAAAGTCGAATGTTGGCTCTGGTGGTGCCAATGGGCAGGCCTAAATAAATGAAAGAAACATCTAATATTGCATCCAAAAGTGGCTGCCAGATGATTAGTCTTGTTCTCATCAATCAACAATGATTGGCACTAATAAGTATTTCTTGAAATTCACACGTAGGCCTGTGGAAACAGAGAATGCCCTTAGGATGCCTTTCAAGTTGAACAACAATCTTGCTTCTGCTGGTAGAATCAATAAAGTGTCATCTGCATATTGTACTATTGGATAATCTCCACCAAAGTTATCACTGAGATGATGAGACAAAACACCTAGTAGCTAGGTTTTGTTGATTATAGACTAAAGCAGATCAGCTGTTAAGACAAAGAGGAGGGGGGATAGTGGATCACCTTGCCTTAGCCCTCTCTTATAGGTGAAGGGCTTCCTAGGTATGCCATTCAGAAGAACTAAGGATGTTCCAGAGCATAGTATGTTTTTTATCTATCTTATCCATCTACTGCTGAAGCCTTTGTGTTCAAGGACCTCTAAAATGGTTTGATGTTCAATCTTGTCAAAGGCTTTTTCAAAATCAAATTTAAGAATGAATTTTTCTTTTTTTAGGGCTCAATGGGGGAAAACCCCCACCTATTTTTTTGTATTAATATGGTGAAAACAAGTACAAAAATACAGGTGCACGAGGGGTGCAAAAAGAAGCTTGCAAAGCTCAAAACGAAAAATTACAGAAAACATTATGTTGTATTCTCTAACCAAAGACTAAGTGAGCCAGCAAGGCTAGGCTTGGCCTTGATGCAAATCAAGCCAATCTCAGTCTTGAAAAGAGCCTTCCAGCTGTTTAGGGTGCAGGGTTTGCCATCGAAGATCAGCCCATGTCTTGAGTTCCAAATCGTCCAGCAGGCAGTGATGAGAATCTCCTTGAAGATGGGGCTGCCAAAGGTGGCTCTTGCTTCAATTAACATATCCAGTGGTGGCAAACTTAAATCCCAATGTATGCCAATGTGGTTCCAGTAGGAAAGGCTGAAGGGACAATCAAAGAAAAGATGCATGCAAGTCTCTTCCACATTACTATTACAGATGGCACAGTTGTAGTCATCAAGATACATATTCTTCCTTCTTAACAAGTTCCTGGTGTTTAGTCTGTCCTTGAGGAGTAGCCAAAAAAAGAATTTGTGCTTGCCAAGATTGCCAGCAGACCACATCCAGGAGAAGAGAGGGGAGGCAACTTCTGTACCTTGAAGACATTTATAGGCCCTTTTTGATGAAAACTTACTGAAGTTCCTGGTATAGATCCATGTATCAGCAATTTCCTCATCCTAGTCATGCATCTGCAGCAACATTTCTAGGACTTCCAATTCTTCAGAGGCTTGGACTGAAAGTGGTAGGAAATAGTTTGCTTTGAGGTCACCGTTCAAGTAGAATATGACTGAACTTTTCTTTTTCTTGGCAAAAGAGTAAAGATGAGGGCACAAATCTTTAAGACAGTTGTCACTCCAGACATCTCCCCAGAACAGAACTGAGTTACCAAAGCTAGGATTGTAGTGGCTCAAGGCTCTAAACTCAACATGTAGCTTGAGGATTTCCTTCCACCAAAAAGAGCCAACTGGGCATCTAGCATGAGGTTGTATGTTGCTATTGTGATAGAGCATATCCCAAGTCAAAGTTACCCAAGGGGTATCTGCATGATTAAAAAACTTATCTAAAAATTTCAGAAGAGGGCTTTGTTCTGGGTTTTGATATCAATGATACCAAGACCACCCTCATCCTTTGGTCTGCATGCAGGTTCCTAGGTATCCAAGCAAGTACCCTTCCTGTTGATGTCTCCATTGCTCCAGAGGCAATGCTTCCTGTACCTGTCAATTCTCTGTACAATTTGTGGAGGTAACAAGAGGCTGCACATGTAATAGGTGGGCATGGCACTAAAAATAAAATTAACCAGAACTAGTCTGCCCTGATAAGATAGCATTCTACTAATACCATTAAGCCTGCTCTCAATCCTGGTTAGGAGTGGACTAAAATCCTGCAAAGAAGGTTTTTGGGTTCCAAGAGGGAGGCCCAAGTATGTGAATGGCATACTTTCAGTTCTGCATCCAACGGTTCTAGCAAGGTGTTCTGCTCTATGACTGTCAATGTGGATAGGCACCAGGAAGGATTTCTGAAAGTTCACATGTAGACCAGTTGAGTCAGAGAAAGATCTAAGTAAACCTTTTAGATTGAAGAGGATTCTAGCATCAGCTAGCACTATTAATAAAGTATGATCCGCATATTGCACTATTGGGTAATCCCCTCCAAAATTTTCACTTACTGGGTGCTTCAGGACTCCAAGATGTCAATCACTATTTATGATGGACTGAAGAAGATCAGCTGCAAGAGCAAAGAGGAGAGGGGAAAGAAGATCACCTTGTCTAACTCCTCTCTTACATTTAAAATTTTTTACCTGGAACACCATTAAGGAGACTAGAAGATGAGGCAGAACTTAGGAGCATCTCAATCCACTTTATCCACTTTTCAGGGAAACCTTTGTGTTGCAGTACCTCAAGGATGACTTGGTGCTCAATCTTATCAAAGGCCTTTTCAAAGTCTAGCTTTAAGATGACAATTTCCTTTTTAGAATGATGACAAATGTGCAAGAAATGAAAGGCCCAGGCTAAACAGTCTGAATAGTTCTTTCTCTAATGAAGCCATACTGATTTGGGTGAACCAATCTAGTGATGACTGATTGCAGTCTTGTAGAAAGAAGCTTGGTGATGCACTTCAAAGAGTAATTGAGAAGAGAAATGGGTCTGTAATCATCAACAGTAGCAGGGTTGGGCTTTTTGGGGATGAGGGCTATGTGGGAGGAATTGAGGCAGCTGATGTCAATGACATTGCTATGAAAGTCATGAATTACCCTTAGGAGATCATCTTTAATAATTGACCAGCATTCTTTGATGAAGAAACCATTAAAACCATCTGGACCAGGTGCATGGTTGCTGGGCAAAGCCTTAAGCATAGCAGAAATTTCATCATTACTAAAAGGATCAGAAAGGAAATCAAGTTCTTCCCTATGTAGGAGGGATTCCAGATCATAAGAGATACCCACAAAGTTGCTGACACCCAATCTCTCTTTGAAGGCATTTCAAAGTAAGGCAGCCTTCTATTCATGGTCAGTGACCAAGATATTCTCTGCAGTGGTTAGGCTCCCTATATATTTTCTGGTGTGACTATTTGTGGCCATTGCTTGAAAGAAGCTTGTATTTTCATCTCCTAATTTAACCCATCTGACTGTGTTTCTCTGTTTCCAGTACTTTCTTTTGGATTCAAGGAGGCCATTGAGATGCTCTTTGACTAGTTTCCTGAAAGAAGATTCAAGGTGGTTAAGGGGTCTTTGATCTTCTAAACCATCCAGGAGAAGAAGAACCCAGTTTCTGTTATGGATCAACTTGTTCAAATTAGAGAGTCTCTTGCTCCATGATTTCAGGCCAGCTCTGGTCTGTTTGAATTTTCCTGACAGAGTTTTTGCAGTATTTCCATAGAAGGGGCTGGAATTCCAATGGAGATCAACTGTTTCCAGGAAGTTAGGTTGGCCTACCCAGTAATTTTCAAATCTAAAGCCTGACCCTTTTGGAACTTTACTCCCTATGTTGACAACATAGGGTATATGGTCAGAAGTTGGCCTTGACAGAGGCATAACTGTAGTGGCTGGAAAAGTGAGCCCCCAGGTAGAAGAAACAAGGACCCAATCTAGTTTCACCAGTAGTGGATCCAATTGCATATTACTCCAGGTGAATCTTCTGCCACTGAAGGGAATGTCAAGAAGATTCAAATCCAAGATGGTGTCATTAAACATCTGCATTTCAGACAAATTTCCACCTGGTTTGTTTCTATCTTCTGGGCATCTGTATAAGTTGAAGTCTCCTACTAGAAGCTAGTCATCAAAGCTTGTGGTGTCCAGATTAATTAGCCAGGTGATGAAAGCCAATTTGCTAGAGGAGTGAGCAGGTCCATAAATATTGGACAGGTGAAAACAGCTGTTATCAACAAGGCTGGTGAGCTTAACAGTGACAGCATAGCTATTTCTCTGAATGATGTCTCCACTATACAGGTTACTATTCCAAATCACCGGAAGCCCTCCAGAAGCTCCTGCAGAGGGAGAAAAAGCAGTCCAACTGCCTTGGGCAAAACTTTCTCAGGTAAGCACTGTCAAAATTCTCTCTTTTGGTTTCCTGCAAGCAGACGATGTTACATGCACTTTCAACAATTTTATCACGAATAGCATCCCATTTTTCCTGGGAATTGATGCCTCTAACATTCCATGACAGGATCTTGTGAACTCTGTTGTTATTCATTTATGATCTGTAGAAAAATAGCACAAGTGTTTGGCCAGCAAGTGACCAAACAAAGCAACACATGGAGCAAAGGAGATATGTGTATAGTAACAGGACAAAGCAAAGAGATGATAGAATAAAGAGTGACAACAGAGCTGAAAAAGATAATCATGGAACCAACAGGTGAAGGCAAAAAGTAAATCTTAAACTGAGTGGCTAGATAAACACTGATCACGCAAAGGTAGCAGAACAAGCATAGTCTGATAACTGAGAGGTTCAGGTTGCATACAAGCCAAGCAGTGGCTGAGGAGTTCTTATTAAACCCGCACGCAGGCTGGGCATCAAAGCTAAAAGGTAGCAACCTAAGCATCACCAAAACAAACACCACTAGCAGGCATAGTGGTGCCAGCCCCAAGCTTCTAGTTGTGATCTTCATTGACATCGGCCATCAGGATGGCAGCAGACAGAGCCGAAGGCTGTATCTGAAGGAAGCCCGTTGCAATTCCATGCACGATGTTCTCAGTGAGGTGTGGTGCAACAGAGGCTCCTGGGGCCAGGATGCAGGCCAAGGGCATGGGGCTTGGGATCTCCTTCTCCTTGCGATTCACAGGGGGTGCCTTGTAACCTTGATTTTTTACAGCATGTCTCTTGCTGCGCCTAAGGAACCTGTCATCGATCTGTTCCTTGGCTCTGGTGGCCCTCCTCTTGCGTGGGGTGAATTCTTCAGCAATGATCTCAAAGAGATCATCCTCCTCATCAAGCAGGTTGTTTAGACCCTCAGCTAGTTCCATGATCTGGGGAGGCAAGAGCAATGCCAGATGGGCCAGGATTAGAGGATCATTGAAGTAAGGAGGTATGACAGTGTCAAAGTCAATATTCAGTAAAGTGAGAGATGCAAAGGGACATGATCTAGGGGTTTTGGATAAGAAATTGAGTACCTTTCTTATGATAGGTAGTGCAAGATCCTGGGGAGGAGCACTCGGAGCTGCAGGGAACAAGCCATGAGCAACAGTGACTGCTGGAGTATCTTTAATAATGATGGATTGGAGCTTGGGCTTCTCAACAACTAATACAGGCAGCATGTTGGCAGGGCTCTGAACCACAGGAGCAGTCACATCTGGCACAACTTTCTTAGGAGCAGCATCTGAAACTTCAGCTGCAACTTCACTTTCAGCTTCATTGACAGAAATCTGTATCCCACCATCGGCAGTAGCATCAGCTGGTGCACCACCTGCATTACCCTGATTGTTGGTGTGAGTTGTAAATATAATTAGAATTGGGGATCAAAATGTAAAATAGGAAAGAGATAAGATAGAATACCTGAGAAGGATCGAGAAGATAGATCCAGTCAGTGTTTGCAACTTCACTGTTCTTCCCCGAGTCGTCGTCGCCCAGACTAGAAGCAGCTATGAGGCAGACGTTGTGGCCACAGCCTTTGTCAACACGAAGACTGAGCTACTAATTCCTGCAAGGTACGGGTGCTTGCTTGGTTGCTTGCCGGCGGCGGAGAGAAAAGCTGCGAGCTTGCTGGTGACCGTGATCTGCTTGCTTGTTTCCTGTATCAAGGAGGAGCTGGTTCTTGGTTGTTGTTTTTTTTTTCTGCTAAATACTGAATCTGCTGCTTATGGCTGAAACTAGTGGAGAGAAATCAGTAGATCACGTGGAAAAACTTTATGAAATATTTAGCAAATTGATGGAGCAGCCTAAGGTGGTGACTTCTGATATTTTTAATACACACTCGAGTCTAATCCTGGACCAGAGAACTATGTCAGTTGGGCCCGTCATTGTAAGTTAATTCTAAGCTCCCATGGATATGAGTGTTTACTTGTCGACTCTGATAAAGAAAGGGAGGTTGATACAGCAAGCAAGCAAATAAGTGATAGAGTACTAGTATGGATGTTAAGCAGTATGGAACCAATTATCAGAGAACAAGTTGAAACCTTAACTACATTTGCAGAGGTGTGGTCGGAATTGGAGAGACAATTTGTAGGAAAATCAAACAAAATGCAAGCTACTCGAATCATGCATGAGTTGACTCATTTAAAGCAAGGCTCAAGGTCTATAGTAGAATATGCTGGTGAGGTAAAAAATTGTACAGAGACCTACACTATTATCATCCATTTGAGGCGGTTGACAAAAAGGATTTGGCTATTCATCATACTTGGTTCCAATCTTTTGTGAGCAAGCTATTTCTTGATGGTTTGAATCAAGAATTTGGTCTTCATCGACAGCTTATATTCTCTAAGTCTGAATGGCCTACTCTTGATGAGATAATTTCCAGCATCAGAGAAGAGGAAACTAGACTATCACATCCCAAAGTGGATGATTATAAAGCAGTTGATGTTAGTGTGGCCCTATCTATAAAGAAGGGCCACATTTCTGTTCCCCAAGGGGACTAAGAAAAAAATAAGGTGGTTTGTGATCATTGTGGTGATAAGGGGCACACCATAGAGAGGTGCTTTAAACTGCATGGTTTTCCATCTAGCAAGGTGATTTGTGATCATTGTGGAGATAAGGGGCATACCATAGAGAAGTGTTTTAAGCTGCATGGTTTTCCACCTGGGTGGAAAAAAGGGGGGAAATCTCAACTTGGGGAAGTTTGAGGTGCTAACTGGAATCGGGCTAATCATATAGCATCTGAAAAAGGAGCTTCCAGTGGTAGATGCTCAAGCTCTTGAGAAATACAACTCTAAGCTCAAGCTCTCTGAAGGCTCATCTTCCACTCAAGGTTCCTCTACTAATTCCAGTTACCTTGCTACTTCCCAAGGTATAAAACATGTTCAAGCCTATACAAATAAACCTTGGATTATTGATTCTGGAGCAAATAACCATATGACAGGAGCATCCAATCTTTTCACTTCCTATATTCCTTGTTCAGGTAAGGATAAGGTGCGTGTAGCTGATGGATCCATGGTTCCTATAACAGGACGTGGATCTATACGGTGCACCAAAACCCTATCCTTCTCACCAGTTTTGCACGTTCCTTATTTCCCTATTAACTTATTATCTGTTAGTTCTATCACAAAATCCCTCAACTGTAAAGGTTGGTTTGATCCTTCTCATTGTGCTTTTCAGGAGCTAGGGATAGGGAGAATTCTTGGGACTAGGACCATGCATAATGGACTCTATTATCTTGATGAAGGAAGTGATGAAGTCACTTTTGCATCCAGGATGTCTCCATGTCAAGAATTATTATTACTTCACCGCAGGCTTGGACACCCCTCTTTTGCTGCTATGTCTCGTAGTTATCCTTCGCTTTTTAATGCATGTCCTAGGGAATCTCTTATATGTGATGCATGTGAGTTTGCTAAACATACAAGAGGTCCCTATCCTAGTTTGGGATTAAGAAGTAACAAACCATTTGATATGATTCATTCTAATGTTTGGGGACCATGTGAGGTGTACTCTATTTCTGGACATAGATGGTTTGTGACTTTTATTGATGACTTTAGTAGATATACTTGGCTTTATCTGTTGAAACACAAAAGTGATATTTTTGTTATTTTTAAAGATTTGTATGCCCTTATTAAAAATAAGTTTGGCAACACTATTAAGGTCTTACGTTCAGACAATAGTACGGAGTATGTTTACCAGGAGTTTGAACAGTTCCTAATGGTATTGAACATCAAACAACCTGTGTTAACACTCCAGAGCAAAACGGTGTTGCTGAACGGAAAAATAGGCATTTACTTGAGGTTGCTCGTTCTCTTATGTTTACAATGAATGTTCCTAAGTTTCTTTGGGGGGAAGCTTTGAAGACTGCAACATATTTAATTAATTGGATGCCTCTTCGAGTTCTTGACAATAAATCTCCTGCTGAGTTACTTTTGAATTCGAATGAATTTGTTGTGTCTCTGAAGGTCTTTGGATGTGTTTGCTTTGTTCATGACTACAAAAATGATATTAGAAAACTTGACCCTCGTGCTGTTAAATGTGTGTTTGTTGGTTACTCTTCTACTAAAAAAGGTTATTGTTGCTGGTGTCCATCTGAATATCATTTCTTTATAAGTATGGATGTGACATTTCATAAATATGAACCTTACTATGAGCCAACCAATGATACTGGAATTACTCTTTCTCCACCTGAAGGACAACAAGAGGGGGAGAGCTCTGTTCTTGTTCCTCCTTCAGTTGGTTCCTATTGGAATAATTCGGTTCATAGTCAGGGGGAGGAAATTAATAACGATAACGAGAGTGGGGTAATAATTCTTGCCATGGAGATATACAGGGTACTTTGCATTTTCAAAACATAGAGTCTCTTATGCACGAGGACCCAGGTACCAACTCACACTCTCTTAGTCCTAATGCTCCATCTAGCACTCTGGAGCGAGGAGATAATCAACTATCTACTCAACCTCCTCCTGAAAATGATCTACCTATAGCCCTAAGAAAGTCAACTAGATCTTCCAATATTCCAGCACGTTTTAAAGATTATGTTGGTTATAAACATGTCATTTCCAATTTTATCTCCTATAAATGTTGTAGCCCATCCTTCCAGAGTTTTGTTGCATCTCTTGATTCTGTATCCATACCCACTAACTGGAAAATAGCTAAAGATGATCCTAAGTGGAAGGAGGCAATGCTTGAAGAGATGAGAGCTTTGGAGAAGAATAGAACTTGGGAGCTTGTGGATCTACCGCAAGGTAAGCAACCTGTTGGGTGCAAGTGGGTTTTCACCATTAAACACACACCTAAAGGGAAGGTTGAAAGGTACAAAGCCTGTCTTGTGGCAAAAGGATACACCCAAACTTATGGGATTGACTATGATGAGACCTTTGCACCTGTTGCCAAGATGAATTCGGTAAGAACTCTTATATCTTGTGCTGTCAACTTGGATTGGGAAATATATCAAATGGATGTAAAAAATGCTTTTCTTCATGGTGATCTTCACGAAGAAGTATATATGCACATACCACCCGGCTTTGAAACAGGTCAAACAAATGGAAAAAGTGCTTCGTTTATGTCGATCTCTATATGGATTGAAGCAATCCCCAAGGGCTTGGTTTGATCGCTTTAGACAATCAATGCTCAAAAGAGGCTATATCCAAAGTAATGCTAATCATACACTATTCTATAAACATGCTACAAGCAAGGTAGCAATCCTAATAGTATATGTGGATGATATTGTGATTATTGGGAATGACATTGCTGAGATTGTCGATTTGAAGAAATATCTTGCTCAAGAGTTTGAAGTAAAGGATTTGGGGCAATTGAAATATTTTCTTGGAATTGAAATCTCCCATGGACCAAAGGGGATGTTTCTATCTCAAAGAAAATATGTTTTGGATCTACTAAAGGAAACCGGAATGCTCGTATGCCGTCCTGCAGCCACACCTATTGAGCAAAATTGTCGTTTAAGTAAAGATGTTGGTACTCCAGTGGATAAAGAATGTTATTAGAGACTGGTTGGAAGGCTTATATATCTCTCTCACACATGACCTGATATTGCCTTTGAAGTAAGTGTGGTGAGTCAATTTATGCATGATCCTTGATCATCTCATATGGATGCTGTCTATCGCATTTTGAGGTATCTTAAGAGTAGCCCAGGAAGGGGTCTTTTATACACTAAACAAGGAAGCCTGCAAGTTGAGTGCTATACTAATGCTGATTGGGCTGGTTCTTTGGATGATAGACGATCAACTTCTGGGTATTGTACCTTTGTTGGAGGTAATCTAGTTGCATGGTGAAGTAAAAAAGCAAAGTGTTGTAGCATGATCTACGGCCGAGGCAGAGTTTCGTGGTATGGCTCATGGTGTGTGTGAGCTGTTGTGGCTGTAGATTCTTCTAACTGAATTGAAATTGTTTGAGAGTGGGCCCTTGATGCTATACTATGACAACAAAGCGGCTATTGATATAGCTAACAATCCTGTTCATCATGATAGAACCAAGCATATTGAGATCGATCGTCACTTTATTAAGGAGAAGCTGGATAGAAGAATTATCTGCCTACCTTATGTAAAATCAGCTAGCCAGATAGCTGATATTTTGACCAAAAGGGTTACCTAAAAAGACTCTCTTCATTTGGTAGCAAGATGGGTCTATATGATGTCTTTGCCCCATCTTGAGGGGGAGTGTTGGTGTGAGTTGTAAATATAATTAGAATTGGGGACCAAAATGTAAAATAGAAAAGAGATAAGATGGAGTACCTGAGAAGGATCGAGAAGATAGATCCAGTCAGTGTTTCCAACTTCACTATTCTTCCCCTTCTTCTCTCATATCCAAAATTCCTCTTAAATCCACCCATTAATCTACAATACTGATCAACCATCATATTGGACCCATATGCCTGTGAAGAAGCTAGGGTCGCATCTGAAGGAGCCGGTGGCACGGGTCTCATCCAACATGGTGGTTGAGGAGCGAGGGGGTGCAGTGGACCAGTCATGACAAAGGCCTCCTCATCTTGCATTTTTGGAACTCCTTTCTTCTTGAGGGTAAACACTGACAATGTCCAAGAGCGTCCTTTAGGGGGAGCCCTGCATTGACCTTGACAGAGTCTGGGATCTTGGCCTCGTCATTCAGGTAGACCTTAGCGATGATTCTGGCCAGGGTGCTCGACTCATGGACATGCACAAGGATGACAAACTCAGAAATAGCTTTTGCAATGGCCGCTCTAGTGCAGATATCCTTAGGGAAACCAATTTGCATTACCCAAGCTTCACGATCAAGATCAAAGGATCTAGCGTTCTCTGCCTCATCGTGCTTAATGATACTCATTCTATAGTTGCCAAAATGGAAAACTGGACCAAGAAATTTCTCCCTCTCTAAAGCGGTGTTGAAAGGCACATAAGCATCACCCATGGTGCAGGGCTAGATGTCTGCGACCCGCACCTGATGTATGTTGAGGAAGAAGGATCGGAGCATAGACTCAAGATGGTGGAAATCGTCCTTGTGGACTGGCGGCTAGAGCTTGATGATCGTTAGGTCCTCATTCGTTAGATTGTAGCACCCCGTCAGATACACCTTGTTGCGCAGAGGTGGGCAGAGGGGCGGGTCCTCCAAGCTCTAGCACGCTGGCACATGAGGGCAGGGGTCGACGGTGAAGTTGGCCATCAGAGCTCAAGGAAGGGTTTGCTACTATAGTTGTTTGGTGGGAATTGAAGGGCGGTGAGGTGCAAATGGGGGAGGGGGAGGGCATCTTCTTGTTACTTAAGGGAGGTTGCCCTGACCCCTCACCTTCCAACATGGAAACAGACCAGTAAACGCGCCGTAGATGGGCCTTACAAAGGCAAGCTACAGAGGTATGTCCATAATTGAAGTAGATCTTGCATCTGATTGATCCACGACAATGTTTCCTCAGGTGGTCATGCGCCAGTCATCTGGACTAGGCATGGGCCAAGACCTGGTTTGGGGCTAGAGCAGAAGGGCCAGAGGTGGCAGGCCCGGAGGAGGCAGGCCCATAGGAAGTCGCCAAGCCCAAGAGAGATTTTGAATTTGAAATGGGCATGGCATTAGCGCCAGTCTAGGGCAGAGAAGGTGCCCTGATGATCTTCTGTGGACACTCCTTTCCAAAGTTCTCTTTCTTGACCCAAAAATTCTTTTTTCTAGAAAA